GGCTTGGTTACAACTTACTGAGCGTCAGTCAACTGATGGCGAAGGGCATACACCTCAAAGCAGATAGCACCACTCAGGAGTTCAAGTTGTACCACGGACGAGGCGGTCTCTACATCGGGAAGGCGGTCCCGAAAAACAACGTCTTCGTCCTCGACTTCGTCCCAGATCTCGGCACCGCTGACAGCGACGGGATCGTCACCTTCACCTCCTGGACACACCCACCAGATCTTGACCCCGACTTCAGTCCAGAAGGTTTCTGGTACTCGCACACCAGTCGTGAGGCAGAACGAACAAGAGCGTTACCAACAATTTGTCATAAGTAGTAGGAGTACGGCCTAGGCTTAGTAGCCTAGGCCACAGTAGGACTAGTAACGAGGAGCCAAGTACGAGCTAGGATTGTGTGCAGGAACAGAATTGAGAAGGAATGATTGAACTAGCAAGCAGCAGGATACAAATAGCAAACCCTAAGGGGCTGTACTCACTATAGAGTACCCCACTGCAGGCTACACAAACAACATATTCTGACACACCCCCATAGCCAAAGTGGGGTGTAATCAGCACAATGAGTAGTCATAGCAATAGTTCATAATTATCAGCAAAGCTAGAGGCTATCACAGAGGGCAAGTGAGGAGGAGGAGGGACTATGAAAGGAGAGAAGATGGGAGGCGACGACTGAAGCTGCAGACACACGGGCAACAGAAGCGGCTGACACAGTGGCGGCTGACACAGTGGCTACCGAGACAGAGCGCCCCGGAATACTGGAGTAACTGGCTCTGCGGCTACGACGAGCGGCAGAAGCAACGGACCCACGGGCGACTGGTGCAGCAGGCTCTCAGTGGCTACCGAGACAGTGCGTCCCGGAATACAGGAGTAACAGGCTCTGCGGCTGCGACGAGCGGCAGGAGCAACGGACCCACGGGCAACAGGTGCAGCAGGCTCTCTGAGCTACCAGGACAGTGCGCCCCGGACTACAGGTGCTGCGGCCGACAAGACAGCAGCCTCCACTCAACCTCCCCCAACAGTCCCACACCCCTCTCACACACCCCCTGCTTCACCCCTAGCTCCACTCCTACATCACCCCCCTAGTGCCACTCCCCACGACTCCCACACCTCCACCCCCCTCAGCGGCAGCTGCAGCAGTGGGAGACGAAAAAGGAGGAGGGGAGAACCCACACCTCTCACCCCCATGCTCGCCACCCCACACCCCAGCCACCGCGGAACGCACGGTGGAATGGGAGCAATGGGCAGCACCGGGGGGGGGGGACGGGGCGGGCTTCTGCAGAGGCGGCTCGCGCGGGTCCTGGGGCGGCTGCTGCAGGTGCGGGCTGCTCCAGGGGCGGCTGCTGCAGGTGCGGGCTGCTCCAGGGGCGGCTGCTGCAGGTGCGGGCTGCTCCAGGGGCGGCTGCTGCAGGTGCGGGCTGCTCCAGGGGCGGCTGCTGCAGTGGCGGGCGGCTCCAGGGGCTGCTGCTGCAGTGGCGGGCGGCTCCAGGGGCGGCCGCCGCAGTTGAAAGGCAGAAGGGGGGGGGGGGGGAAACGCACGGCCCCCAGGGCGCCCCGAGGGGCGACGAGAAGGGAGCCGCGCGGCCCCCCCCCGGGGCGCCGCGACGGGCACCAGGGAGGGCGCCGCGACGAGCCCCCAGAGCCGCCTCGACGGGCGACGGGGAGGGTGCCGCGCGGGCCCCCCGAAGTCGCCTCGACGGGCGACGGGGAGGGCGCCGCGCGGGCCCCCCGAAGTCGCCTCGACGGGCGACGGGGAGGGCCGCGCACGGCCCCCGAAGTCGCCTCGACGGGCGACGGGATGGGACCGCGCGCGGCCCCCGTGGTCGCCACGACGGGCGACTGGTGGGGAGGCCGCGCGGGCCCCCAAGGTCGCCTCGACGGGCGACGGGAGGGGAGGCCGCGCGGGTCCCCGAGGTCGCCTCGACGGGCGACGGGAGGGGAGGCCGCGCGGGTCCCCGAGAGCGCCTCGACGGGCGCTTCGACGGGAGGGGACCGCGGAGGCCCCCCCAAGGGCACCACGACGGGCGCCACGGAAGGGAAAACCGCCAGGCGCCCCGAGCGCGCGGCGGGCAGAAATTAGGGTTTCGCCGCCGCGCACCACGGGGCGCGCGGCGGACAGTACGGCAGCGGAAGCGGGTGGTGGGCCCATACACAGGAAGGCGGCAGACATGCCGCCCTCTGATACCATGTCAGAAGTAGTAGGAGTACGGCCTAGGCTTAGTAGCCTAGGCCACAGTAGGACTAGTAACGAGGAGCCAAGTACGAGCTAGGATTGTGTGCAGGAACAGAATTGAGAAGGAATGATTGAACTAGCAAGCAGCAGGATACAAATAGCAAACCCTAAGGGGCTGTACTCACTATAGAGTACCCCACTGCAGGCTACACAAACAACATATTCTGACACTATGATCAGAGTTCCTACAACAAAGACTTCCGCTACCAAACTCTTCTAAGGAATTCCTATCCTATCCAAGATCCTCACTCTAAGAGTCTTGTTCTAGTCTTGCTTGCTGTACTGTGCTATATATTGTGATCATTGTCCTGCTTTGTTGTTGTAACATTACGTGTGAACTGGCCATGTGGCCGCCAGGGCTCTCGTTATCAGACCAAATTGGTCTGATTTTCTGATTTTCAGACCTTGATTTTTGTTTTCATCTGATTTTCAAGACGAGGATTTTTACTTCGTCTGATCTGTAAGATACGGTAACGAATTTCAGTTCATCTGATTTTTCAGAGGAAGCCTTATACTTCGTCTGAAATTTCAGATAGGGGGTTGCATTTTGTCTGATATCGACCCCAATCCCCTCTCCCCCCCCCCCCCCCCTTCTTCCCCCCCGATCCCTCGCTTCTCTAACAGCGCAGCCCCCCATTTGATGCCCTCGCTCCTCGTCCCTATATTACTGGCCTAGTCCAGCCCTTCTCCCCCTTTCCCCCAGCCTTAGGTCCCCTCCCCAGGTCCCCGCTCCTAGCCTAGCCCGCTTTCCTCTCGAAAAGTCTCGCAACAGCCCAACACCCCCAGCCGAACTCCCCCGAAGTCCTTGTCGCAGCCCAACACCCACCCCCCCCTGCCCTCAGCATGCCGCGAGCTGCCCAACAACCTTCCACATTTAGGTTGTGTCGCCCTGAATCGATATACGGTAATACACGATGCAATTTGAAAAAAAACAGACAGCACTATCTATTTCAGCTGAAAAATCAGACGTGGCGTTTGCACTCGTCTGAAAGTTCAGACTAACCTTTTTTCCTCGTCAAAACGTCAGACCAAACGAAAATTTGTATACATGTCTTCAGACGGGCTTGAATCCTGGCAAGAGCCCTGGTGGCCGCTCGCTTGTGCTCGGAATGTGTGGTGATATTGAGATTCTCCTTGGTCCACCCTTCGTGGTTCTTGCCTTGTCTAGCTTTCCCTCACTTACCGTGATCTCCCGGTTACAAGACCCCCCCGCGTACAAGCCCCGTGGGTCTTCTATCCGGACCAAGGGTCTTTTATTAAGTCAGTCCTGGAGAGGACCCGCCTTTTGACCCCATTCATTATAAGACCCCCCCTCTTTTGCATGGGTGGTGTTTAACCGGTGAGATGCTTAGCGAGTCACATTAAAAAAACACCAGATTCACGTTGTGGGCGAATTCGTGGTCAATGGAGTCATGATGCCACGTCGATCATGCGCTTTTGCCGCCCGTCACGCGAGAAATGCTGACGTACCTGTCACAATTGGGCATTACAGGAGGTGTGACGCGTGGCAACCAGGGCCCACGTTATCAGTGTAAATCACCCTGATGCCCTGATTAGAAGGGTGATTTTTGGTAGTAACACTGATGCTGTTGGGTAAATTTTTCGGGACCTTGATTTACCCTGATGTGCCAGGTTTTAAGATTAAGGAACACTGTCGCCTCAGGGTTGCCGTTCCACTTATCGAGGTTTACCCTGAAGCGCGTACCAGCGAACTCCCACCCCCCCCCCCCCCCCGTCCCCTAACCACCCGACCCCGGAACCAGGATTTTCCCTTTGCCAACTGTCGAAAATGTAGATTTCGGCAGGACTTTACGTGTGCTGGAACGAGGTGGGCCACCATTGGCCAGAAATACAGTTTCATTCGAGGCAAGGAGAAAGTGCCGGAGCCAGAGGAGGACAGTGACCACGAGCAGCAACCTTGTGGCATGTCTGATGATGATGATTGAGCTTGTTATTGTGTGCTGTGTTACAAGAACAACTGAAACAGGGTTTTGCGAATTGGTACACTGATGCCTCAGGGTAGTCGTTTTAATATATGCAAAAACCCTGACGCATCAGGTTTTCCACAACGGGTAACCCTGAAAATCAGGTTTTTGAACAGGTGCTAGACTGATCGTAAGGGTTGGTCAAAACAAAAAAATGAGCCCTGGTGGCAACGATTGATGTGCGCGAAGCGAGAGTGGCGATAGAATTCCGCGTTTTGAGCCGTACTCGAATTCGCAAAAAAAATATTGAAATTCTTCAATACTGGTCTTTACAATCCATTTTTGTGTGATTTATAAATGTCCGGGGGTCTTATGCACTCTATGCCATCAGATAAGACCCCACAGCCCATTTTGAGCACATTTAGGATAAGACCCCCGGGTCTTCTAGGCGGGAGCTCACGGTAAACTATGGGGGTGTGTCAAACTATGTTTATGTTTGTGATTAGTTACAGTGAGGTAGATTGTAGTGAGTACAACACTTAAGGGTTAGTACATGTATCCCTTGCTTGCTAATCCAATACCATTCCGCTGTTTCTAGTTCTTTACACAGATTTCGGAAACCTCCCTTATCTCGTTCATCAAGGCCCTTGCTCGTGCAGATGAGGTAAAGATGTTTCTGTGATACAGTTCTTTTATATATCTACCTACCGTACCTATATTTTAGCACACTGCATTTTCATGCATACCGATGTGGGGTAGACATGGCATGCACGAAACGAGACACCTCCATTCCAAATCATTCAGCGGAGCACTGCATGGCGGCATGCAGGCAAGCTCAGAGCCTACACCTTGGAGCCCAGCAGCCGTACCATCCACTGCAGGTGCGCCCTCAGCTGCCTTGCAGCAGGGTAAGTGAGGTCCCTTGGCACTCCCACCCTGTCCCTCAGATAAGCCACACACACTGCCACCTCCTCCTGCTCCTCTCCGCTCAACGCCCCAAGCAGCCCTGCTGGCACTGCTGCCCCCACCGCCTCTGTGCCTTCCAGCAGAGCATGCGCCACGTGGCGCAGGGCCTCGCTGACAGCTGGCGCCAGCCGCTCCCTCGCTGCCTCCAGCTCAGCATCAGAAGGCGGCTGCAGCCGGGGCCGTCCTCCAACCAGCATGACCCGTTGACCAGGAAAGGACTGATCCCGCAAGGCGCGCAGGCAGAAAGACACCAACAACTCATGGTTGAGAATAATCGACTCCACTGCCTCCTGCTGTGCCTGCCGCCCCGCCCCGCCTGTCCCATCGTCCTCCCCCCACGCAGTCACCTCCGGCTGTAACGGCAAATCCCACGCACCAGTCCCGTCCCGCCCCTCAATATAATCACGGTGTGCAGCCCCTGCGTCGGCGAGAACAACGGGGCCGATCTGCGGCTCAAGGGTGTGGGTGATGGTGAAGTCATCGGACTTCATGGCGAGATACGGCGGGCGGGCGTCCATGGCTGTGAACCAGGCGTTGAGCGCGGGCCAGCGCGTGTTGCCACGCACTGTGAGGCCCTTCCAGAAGGGGATGCTGGCTGCTGTGCGCTCCAGGAATGGCGCATACACCGCGTCCACCATGGAGAACTGCAGGGGGAGGATGAGGGGGTGTTGCGTGTGTGGGGGAGGAGGGGGATTGTGAGCGAGGTTGGGGTGCTATGGTGTGGGACGAGAGGAGCAGTGGGAGAGGGACAGGGAGGAAGGATGGTGTGGCATTGAAGGGGAGCGGGAGGGGTGGAGCTGGTTGGATGAGAGGGGCGTGCAGTGCTGGCTGGCAGTGCTGTTAGGATAGAGACGAAGCGAATAGTGGAAGCAGTTCGCGAGTGAATTCGTGTGGAACATAGGGGTGGTGCATTGCTAGATTCTCCGCACATTCCACCCCATCGAATCCCATCCCACCCCATACCACCACCCACCCGTCTTCCCACCCCCTGCCCATACCCTCCATTCATCCACCCCCCTTCCCCCTCCCCCATCCCCTCCGACCATCCCCTTGCCCATCCTCCCCCCCCCCCATACCCTTTCCCGACCATCCCCTCGCCCATCCTCCCCCCCCCATCCCCTTTTTCGACCATCCCCTCCGCCCATCCTCCCCCCCCCCCATCCTCTTTCCCGCTCATCCCCTCCGCCCACCCCTTACGCCCACCCCCTTCGCCCACCCCCTCCACCCGTCCCCTCTGCCCATCCCCGCGCCCATCCCTCTGCCCTTTCCCTCCACCCAACCCCAAGCCCACCCCCCCACCCACCCTCTCCCCCCCCATTCCCCCGCCCATCCTCCCCCTCATCACCTGGTCGCCCATGAACAGTGGGCCACCGCCCTCCAGCAGTGCTGCATCCACGGCATCCAGCGCCTCCTCAAACATGCGCTGCCCCGCGCCCATCCCCCCTCCGCCTCCGCGCCTGAACATTCCCCCCATGAGCCCCCCCGCGCTGTCCCCCATGCGCGACCACTGCAGCCACGCGCCCGCCAGCTGCCTCTCCAGGCGCAGCAGCCGCTCCACCCGCTGCGTGGCCGCACGGTCGGAGGGTGGCGGCAGCAGGGGCTTGTGCGAGGGGAAGGCGCGCTCTATAGCAAACATGATGTCTAGGGACTCTGTTATCACCCTGCCGTCCAGCTGGGGTGCAGCAGGAGGAAGGTGGGGGGGAGGGGTTGAAGGGGAAGAGGGGAGGACTGGTGAGATTAAGAGGACGAGGAAGAGGAGCGTGGGGAATGGACGGGCGGGGAAAGGGAGGAGGGAGGATGGGGATAAGGAGAGAGGAGTGGGGGGTGGGTGGTGGGAGAGAATGTTGCGAGGTGGAGGGACTTGACAGCAAAGCATGCAGGCAGTACAACGATCTGCATGGCATGGGTAACATAGGCACAGCACGCCACGGTGTGTGGTGGTGCAATGCAAGGTGATCCTCCAATGTCTCGTCTTGACTTGCACGCGGCAGGTGTATGTGGTGAGTCAGCAGCAGGCACGTGCATGTGGTGGCCAGCCCATGCGGTGCAGCACAGGGCAGGCAATGGTCACACAGCGTAGTGGGAACAAACAGGAGCAGGCACACAGGCACAAAGGCGCACACAAACACGCGTGCGGAAGGCACGCATCCATGGAGGCACCTTGAGCACACGAACTTGTGCTGGCTATTGTGAGAAAAGACTTGTTGAGTGGCGTCCGAGATCACCTTGAGCACGGGCAGCAGGCCCGAGGGCACCATCTGCATGAACCAATCGGGCTTGGGGCCGTAGCACCGCATGTTGATCTTCTCCACCCTGACCGCCGGTGGCCCGGGAGAGAGGACGAGAGTGCATGCGCGCGAGAGAGGGAGAGGGAAGGGGAGGGGGAGAAAGGGAGAGAGAAAAGGAGACAGAAAGAGATTGAGGGAGAGAGGGAAAGAGGTGGGGGGGGGGGAGGTGGGCAGACAATGGTGGACAATCTAGACTGAGAGGTTGAAGCTGGTGGAGAAATAGCAGCTAGGGGACAGCTTGGTGTGGGAGACAACGAATAGGCAATAGGGACACATGGAGATTTGTAGCATACGACATGGCACACGGCAAACGACGAACAGGCCACGGCTGAGCTCATGCGTAGGGGATCTGCTTTTCCTCCAGTTGCAGCCACACGCGCTCGCAGTACGGGCACCACGCGGAGTTGTCGCGGTACAGCGTCACGCGCACGTCGCTCTCCGCCGCGCCGAACAGCCGCTGCGCCGCCTTCGACAGCCGCTCGCGCTGACCCAGCGGCACGCCCGCGCGCTCCTCCACCGTCGCACGCAGCTCCTCCAGCGACGGCACTGGCGATGTCGCCGCCGTCGCAGCGGCTGCAGCTGCGGTTACAGCGGGGGATTCCCGCTGCTCGGCTGGTCCGGCCATGCCAGGCAGGCTGGCGCTCCGAGACACGGCGGAACGACCCCTTGCCGCGGACGCCGTAGCGGAAGAGAGGGGTTGACCGTCAGGCCGTGCAAGTAACGAAACTACTCTCGTTGCGATTCCGCGATATGGTAGCTTCACGCGTTCTCCGCGCAGTGCGAACGAGCCGCGCGAGATGAAACAAGGACGGCTGAGGGACATCGGCTGAGAATGCGACTGGAGGACAGGTACGTGCGAATCCAACGGTGTGGCAGTGGAGGTGGAAGCACGGAGTTTGGCCACGTGGCGTGCTGTAAGCGAGGTGGGAGAGGAGACGGATGCGGCGGAGAGGGCTCGTACAGGCAGCATGGGGAGTGGTCGACAGACGATTCTGGCCGAGACGGCGTATTGAGGTCAGGCAAGAGGTAAGGCAGTGGTGGGAAGTGTGCAACAACAAATAGATAGAAATGGGAACGAGGTGGGAGGGAGAAGGAGATGTGAACACTCGAGGTGCAAAGGAGTGGAATTGTAGGCGTCCGAACCAAATTGAGTTCGAGTGGTGAGATTTCTGACGTGGTTGGAAGAAACAATCAGGGAACAACGCGGAAGCTGCTGATTGGTTAAACGTGGAATTTTCCTTGGGATTTGGAGGGACAGACGTCGTCGCTTGTAATGAAGTTGAAAGGGAAGGCGTTCAAGTTCTCGTTAGAGAAGGCCGCTTTATTAAAATTGATTTATCAATGCATCATAGCATCATAACATTTTTTCCAGTGTAATGATTTCCAGGGCCATCTGTAGATTCTAGTTTCATGTATGTTTTCCCCAACCATGGAAAGATGAATCCCACTAGAATCATAACTTTCGAACAGAGCTTTTGAGCAGAACAGAAGTAATAGTTCTGTAGTTTGTGCCCTAGTTTTTTGGAATTGTAACTTGAGTGTACTTGCTCATGCTACAATTCAACCGAACGGCGCCATACAGAACTGTCGGATCCGAATTCAAGCGGCCAACAATTATTTTTACTTCTTGTCAGAACCTCACGCCAGCAAGGCAATCATCGCCGCGATTCCCAAACAGAGGTTGTATTCCGGATGACCGCGCGCACCCAAGAATTCGTGTTCTAAATCCGAGTCGCCGTCGAACTTATCCCTGCTCACATCCCGCCGCTGCCATCATGTCACCGTCATCTCTTTTCCGAATCCTTGTCCTAACCGTAATGACGTCATCAGTGACACGTGTCCACTCATGGTGGGCCGTTCCTCACATGGTACGACATCCAGGTGACGCCTTCTCTCGTGGGTTTTCATCTCAGCACGTGCCTATTGCTCCCGTGCTGTGTTGCTGTCGTGCGTGAGAGGGAGAACGCACTTCCGTGTAGTGCAATGTACCATGTCTCCCACTCCAAGCTACCCTCGCCCACGAGTTGTGCCATGCATTCCCGCCTCGCTCTCCTTCCCTGCACTTACCCCATGCACCCCCCTGGTGCGTTCCAGTCCTGGCTGCGCTCTCACCGCCTCAGGTCCCACCAGCATCCCTCATTTCCTCTCTCTCCTCACTTGACCCCCACTCTCTTCCCATCGTCCCTGCATCCCCTCGCCCTTTGCACAACTTTACCCTCTGTCTCTACCCTCTATCTGACACCCCTCCCCACCCTCCCCCCCTCTCTCCTCCCTCTCCCCCGCCACCTTTGCCTGTTGGGGCGGCATGCTGGGTGTGCGGTGCGGTGCGGTGCATGCAGGTGGTGGCGGACTTGGCATGGCTGCACATGAGCCCCACAGCGCAGCAGGCAGCCATGCAGGCACGTAGGCGTTTGCCCAGTGTGTGTGCTGCGTGCCGTTCACACTACCTAATGCATGACGATCACATACCACAACATTGTATCCCCGCCCACATGCTGCATCCACGCCCACATGCTGCATCCACGCCCACATGCTGCATCCACGCCCACATGCTGCATCCACGCCCCCATGCTGCATCCACGCCCCCATGCTGCATCCACGCCCACATGCTGCATCCACGCCCACATGCTGCATCCACGCCCACATGCTGCATCCACGCCCACATGCTGCATCCACGCCCCCATGCTGCATCCACGCCCCCATGCTGCATCCACGCCCCCATGCTGCATCCACGCCCCCATGCTGCCCCCATGGGGTAGGAGGAGAATGCTCCCTTCTTGTACCACCATCCCACTCCGTCCTGTCTCCTCTTCTTCCTGCACCCCCCTTTTCCCACCGCCCTCCTCCATGCAGGCCCTCACTCCCCTCAACCCCTTCTACCCTTCCCTCTCGTCCTTCCACGCATCTTCCATGTGAGTGCAAGGGTGCATGTGAGTGCAAGGGTGCATGTGAGTGCAAGGGTGCATGTGAGTGCAAGGGTGCATGTGAGTGCAAGGGTGCATGTGAGGGCAGGCGTCTGACATTCAAGCAACCAAAGCTTAACTTCTTCTAAGGGGATGGCACTCAATCGGCCATCCGCCATGTGAGAGCAAGGGTGCATGGGAGAGCACGTCCTTCCTCTCACTGCATCTCGCCCCTCTTCGCCTCTTTGTACGAACATGGCGATGCGGTTGCTTCTTCTTTGCCCGGCCTCTCATCCCATGGTGTTCTTTATCTCTCCCCGCATGTCTCCCCACGAACCCACTCCTCCCTTGCCTTGATATCCTGTTTCGTGTGAACGAAATCTCTGCCTGCTCTGCACAGTGCTGCCGCTTACATAGGCTGTGCCACTTCGTTTGTTCCATCCTTGCTGTCTGGCCCGTGCTCATGCCATGCCATGCCATGCCATGCCATGCCATGCCATGCCATGCCATGCCCTGCCCTGCCATGCCATGCCATGCCCTGCCCTGCCATGCCATGCCATGTGTGGTGTGCGTGGCATGCGTGTAAGCAGATGGTTGGATGTGATCAACACCACGGTCATGCCTGCCTTTCAACCCTGGTAACTACCCAGTACCCCTTGCTCCATACCATTCGCGCCGCACCTTGCATTCTTGCACCGTTCGATTCCCTCGTATTCCATTCTTCACACTACTGCAGACCCCTCCACCACGCCACTCCCGGCCCTCCCTTCACTGCTTCCAACTCTTCCTGCTCTGCTTGCACTCTCCTCGCCCTTCATTTCATCACACGCCATAACATACCATACCATATCATGCCATGAAATTCCATGCCATACCATGCCATACCATGCCATGTCATTCCAACCCATGCCATGCCATGCCATGCCATGCCATGCCGGTGCAGGCACTACTCCCTTTCCGCCCTGCCTGCCCCCTCGCCTGGCGTGTCCCCACCACCTTCACCAGCACCACCGGTACCAGGTATCCCTCGCACCCCACACCCCACACTCCACACCCCACACTCCACACCCCACACCCCACACCCCACACTCCACACCCCACACTCCACACCCCACACCCCACACCTTACACCCCACACCCCACACCTCCCTCGCCTCCCCGGCACCGTCCCACAAGGTGTGCCACTCCTACTCCCCCATCCCTCCTCATCCACCTCCACCCCTCTGTCCCCCGCTCTCTCTTTTGTCTCCATCGTCCTCCGCCTGACCCGTGCTTCCCTTTCTGCTCTCTTTGGCCAGTGCCGAATGCTACTCCCTAGATTCTCTGCTGCTGCTCCTCTCCTCTCCTCTCCTCATCAATGCTGTTCCCTTCGTCTGTCCCTCCCCCACACGTCCCTCCCCCACATACCCTTCTCCCCACACGTCTCTCCCCCACAACCCCCTCCCACACCCCCACACTCCCCCCCCCCCTCCGTGCAGCGCCGGCGTCGCTGGGGGCTGTGCTCAGCAGCGCGCTGACTGCACTGCAAGGCACCCACATCGATGTGTGCGTGGGGGGAGGGGGGGGGACAGCAGGGGGGAGAAGGGGCAGGAGTAGGTGGAAAGGGAGAGCGAAGCAAGTGGGAATGGCAGGCGAGTGTGGGAGATGGTACGTGTAACGGGGTGGGGTGCGCTGGGTTGGGAGTGGGGACAGGGAGAAAGGAGCAGAAAGAAGCTGCTTGCTGTTATGTTCCCACCTTCCAAACTTCCCCCAACTTCCTCCCAACTTCCTCCCAACTTCCTCCCAACTTCCTCCCAACTTCCTCCCAACTTCCTCCCAACTTCCTCCCAACTTCCTCCCAACTTCCTCCCAACTTCCTCCCAACTTCCTCCCCAACTTCCCCTCCATCGTTTTGCATACCAACGAGCCTGCGCCCTGCCCATGCTGCTCTTCTCTCCTTCCGCCCTCACCCCTCCCCTCCTTGCCCTGTTCACTGTGCCTGCCTCCTCCTCGCATGCGTGCAGCTTTGGCCGTGCCGTTGTTCTCCGAGTGCTTCTCAACCTGCTTGCTGACCTCCACCAGGTGACGTGGCAATGCACCAGGTGACGTGGCAATGCACCAGGTGACGTGGCAATGCACCAGGTGACGAGGCAATGCACCAGGTGACGAGGCAATGCACAAGGTGACGTGGCACTGTATCAGAACAACCTGGCATTGCTTTTCCTCTGCTCCAGCCCCCCATCTCCATTCCCCCCCCCACCCTCTCTGGCCCTCTCATCCCATCTCTCATGAACGCTCCTCTGCTCCTCTCCACTACGCACATCCCTCCCTCTCAACCTCCCCACCTTCTCACCGCCCCATGCGCCCCACCTACAGCCACTGCACTGTGCCGACAGGCAGCACGTGGGGGGGGGCGAGGCAGCAGGCGGGGGCGTGGAGGGCGGAGAGGGGGTGGGGCCCGTGGGGGGCGGGGGGTGGGCGCGGCAGGTGGCGGTGGAGCAGTACGTGGTGGATGAGGCGGACACACTCTTTCACTTCTGGTCCGCCTCCTCGCCCCCCCCCTGCCTCCTCCTCCCTTCCATGCCTTCCCCGGTGCTGTTTTTCTTGCTCCTCGTGCTGCTGCTCTGTGCTGTTCTGTGCTGCTATGTGCTGGTGTGTGGTTTCTGCATAATCTACCAGCAAAGACAGTCTTTACACACACACACACACCCTGCCATCCGTCTATCTCGCATGCTCTTTCTCTCGTCCCCCCGCTCCTCATCCCCCCATCCCCCACCTCCACTCCATGCTCTCCCCGCCCGGCTAACTAACCCCCCGTGTGAACGGCAGGGAGGCAGCAGGGGGGGCGTTTGAGGAGGTGGCGGGGGCGGTGAGGGGCGACCGTGCACGACCAGCAGCAGCATTTCACGTGGATGAGAGGGACGTGCGCGCTGCTGCCCTCGCCCTCGCTGCTCAGTTCCCGCTCTCCGCCTTCACTCCACGCGAGGTCAGTGCGCTGTGTGCTCTATGTGTGCTGCCTGCATGGCTACATGCCTGCATAACTATGACTGCACCCGCATGGGTGCATGGGTGCATCGATGCATGCTCCTGTGATCTATCTGTACTTCATCATTCATTATTCCCCACAGCCCACGCGCCACCTTCCGCACGCGCAGCCTCGCCCATGCCTCATATGTCACAGTCACCTTCCCCCCATGGCATCATCAGGTGCAGGAGGTGGATCTGGCAGCGTGGGCGGCAGGCAGCGGCAGCATCACGGCATCTGTAGTGTACTCTGGTCCCCTGCAGACCGCTGCTGCAGCAGCAGCAGCAGCAGCATCGGTGCCTGGGACGGCTAGCCCCGTGCTGCTCACTCACGACTACAACATCCATGTTCAGGCGTGTCTCGCTCTCCCGCTCTTCTTCTCCCTTGCTCTCCTTCTCCCTTGCTCTCCTTCTCCCTTGCTCTCCTTCTCCCTTGCTTTCCTTCTCCCTTGCTCTTCTTCTCCCTTGCTCTTCTCTTCCCTTGCTCTCCTTCTCCCTTGCTCTCCTTCTCCCTTGTTCTCCTTCTCCCTTGCTCTCCCTTTTCCTCTCTCACGCTCCCCCTTCTTCTATTCCTCTCCCTCTCACGCTCCTATGCGATCTGCAAGGCTCTCACCATGTCTGTATGGCTCTGCCCATCCCATCCTGCCCTGATCCCATCCCTTCTCAACTCCATCACCCGCCCTGCCCTTGCTTCTTCCCACCCAATCTACCCCACCTCACCATCCTTACACACAACATATCCCTCCTCCCACAACCTCGCCTCATCCCTGTCTCATCCCCCTCTCACACCCCATGTCTCGCCCCTTTCGCACATCCGCCTCGCATCCCGCCTGCCCCCTGCGCGCATCAGGAGGTGGCCAAGTCGCAGTTGGCGCTAGCAGCATACCGCCTGGCAGCGCTGCTCAACGCCTCCTTCCCACAGCCGCTCTCCCAGGACCCTGACACCTACTCCCCCTGCATATCGCTGCAAGATGCGGGTCCGTCATCCCATCCCTCTCCTCTCCTCTCCGTTCACTTGCTCCCTCTCTGCCCGCCTCCTCCCTCTCCGCTTGCTTGCTCGGTCTCTCTCACCTTTCCTCTTGCTTCCCCTCCCTCCCTCCCTCCCTTGGCCCACCCGTCCACCCCTCCTCTCTCTTCGTCACCGCTCTCTCTCCCTCTCCTCTCTCTCGCCCCCCCCCCCCCCTCCCCCCCCCCCGCCCTGCTCTTCTCTCTTTCTATCTCCTCTCATCTCTCTCCCCTGTTCCATGTTCGCTACCTTGTTAACGGTATTTCCTAAACATTTTCCTCACCCCTTCTGAACCCACCCTTCTCTCATTCCTTCCTCACCTCTCCCTCACCCCGCCTTCCCTCATCGCGCCCTCACCCCGCCTTCCCTCATCGCGCCCTCACCCCGCCTTCCCTCATCGCTCCCTCACCCCGCCTTCCCTCATCGCGCCCTCACCCCGCCTTCCCTCATCGCTCCCTCACCCCGCCTTCCCTCATCGCTCCCTCACCCCGCCTTCCCTCATCGCGCCCTCACCCCGCCTTCCCTCATCGCTCCCTCACCCCGCCTTCCCTCATCGCTCCCTCTCCCCGCCTTCCCTCATCGCTTCCTCACCCCGCCTTCCCTCATCGCTCCCTCACCCCGCCTTCCCTCATCGCTCCCTCACCCCGCCTTCCCTCATCGTGCCCTCACCCCGCCTTCCCTCATCGCTCCCTCACCCCTCCATCACCTCTCCTGGCACACTCCCTATCCACCACCGTCCGCACTGCCCCCACAACCACCACCTCCCATCCCATGACCACGCAGAGGAGCGGGGGGCGAGGGCAGCGCCTCTACTGGCAACAGCACTGGGCATGGCGGTGGCAGTGGCGCTGGCACTGGTGGTGATGCTGTACCGGGAGAGGGAGAGCATGCAGCGGCAGATCAGGGACCTACAGCAGCACATGCACCAGGACCCACACAGCCCCTCTGGGGGCCTGCTGGCCTCCTCCCAGGGCTTGTGAAGCAGAGTGATGGGCGAGGGGGGGCGTAGGGAGGTTAAGATTCAGCTGTTCTGTGGGTGTGAACCTGTCAAGTTCTTGACAGGTATTGCGATTGATACCGTAGTCTGTTGCAGCGAGAGCAATTTTTTGTTTTCCTTGTGTGTAATGAATGGTATGTCTCAGAAATGGAATGCAAAGGAATGTTGTGACTAGGAAAGCAAGGGAATACAAATATGAAACCCTAACTGAATTGTACTCACTAAGGAGCACTTCATTGCAGCCTATAACAAATAATAGCATTTGACACACCCCCACAGGCTGTGAGGGTCATCAAAGCAAGCAGGGTGAACAAACGGTCACAAGACCAGTCAATACAAGAAGTGTGTGGATCTCAATGTCAAGAATGAAAGCTCAGGGTGGATCTCAATGTCAAGAATGAAAGTGTTGGTTTGACTAAGGTTGGTTGGGGTACATAAACCTAACCTTAACAGTTGTACCCCCTATAACACACATCACTAAGACTACAACATTTGACACACCCCCATAGTCTAAGTGAGGGGTGTGTCAAGCAAAACCAAAAGTGTACGGTCACAAGACCAGTCACAAAGAAACAATGCTCAGGGTGGATCACAACGTCACCACACACTCCGAGCACAAGCAAAAGAGCCACAAGGCTAGTTCAAGAGTTTACAGAGGTATATGTAAAGTGTGCAAACAGAAATCGCCTCATCACATGTACCGTCATCGTCCGGATAGTAGACAGTGTTGAATAGTAGACAGGGGTTGTCTATTATCCGGGTGTCTCTTATAAACAGGCTAGCCTCATTATAAGACACCTATTTGTGTGTACGAGATAAGTCATATGTGTCTTATAATCGGAACTGCAATACTTTACAGTGGAACTTGAAATACCGCGTACATTTTTACCTTTTCGATGCGCGAATTCTTCCACGTGCTGACCCAGGTACTACCAAATTTGCCTCTGCAAGTATTTTCCATGACGTGGCTTCCCGAACAATGGTTGACGCAGTGGTACCTTCGCAACATCCACACTCATTATGAGAAACTCTTTTCAAGATGTGTGAAAAAAATTCTAAGTAGTTTAAAAAGTTTCCATTTATAAGACTCATAAGACACCCTAAACCATCCCAAATGCAAGATAACCCAAGCATTTTTTTTCTAGTGTACGAGATAAGACATATATGTCTACTATCCGGGTGATGACGGTAGTAGGTGTGACATAGGCCTCCCTTTCTGAGTCTCCTCAAAATCGCCTTATCACATCAAGCAAACAAAGCAAGGAGAGAACACAAGACTATGCAAGGCGAGAACAGGTGTCAACGAGACCTAACTGCACACAACACCTCTGGTGGTCACAAGGCGGCAGGGCCTTAGTGAAGATGCCTGCAGTGTTGGCCTCGGACTCGACAAAGTCGAAGCGAGCCTGTCCACGCCTCTGCAACTCTCACAGAAGAAAGTACCTGGCGTTAATGTGCTTCATTCTGCTCTCCAGTCGTGGCTCTCGACAGAGGAGATTTGTCGTCCTGTTATCAGTGAACAAGGTCGGCGCAGAGCTCGGCCGCTCACCAAGGTCGATGAGCAAGAACGTCAGCCAGCGCAGCTCCTGTGCAGCCATAGCTCCAGCGTAGATCTCGGCCTCAGCAGTAGAGGTCGAGACCGAGGAGGAATGTGTGGGCCTCCACGAAACAGCTCCAGAGCCCAGGCTGAAACAGTACCCCTGAGTAGACTTGTGCGTCTCGGCTGTTGGGCTGAGAAATTCCCTTAGGATCGTTTCAAGAATCGTTTGAAGCGTTCAATGTAGGCTGATTGAACCACCTTGCACTGGTGTGTGAGAACAAGATAAGTTGATAATAACAAAGATATATAGGGCTTTATATGATTACAATGAATATGAAAGGTTTAACTAACTGTAACTACTGTTGCGGTTCGATACAGCGACGACTCGGGTAACTGCTCAATAGCGAGTCAGTTATGTGTCCTTGCTTTTTGGCGAGTCAAAGGTCAGTGACCTTTGACCTTCGCTTAACCTCTTGTAGTCTTTCTGTCAACCGCTTTGGTTGCCTCGCTGTTACTTCGCTGTAGTTCGCTTCGCTTACATTGTAGTGCTTGACACATCGGAAGCGCGAACTATAGGTTTCCAACATCGTCGTCGTCAGCGTAAGAGGCGTCACAGTGACCAGTAAGCACAACGTCCTGTCTCCCTCCAAGAACCAGCCCCACGCCTGATGATGTCGCTAGGTACTTCTCCACCCTCACAGCAGCTGTTCAGTGAACTAGACGGTGTCTCCCTTGTGCAACAAAGCGAGCAAGGATGCTGAGAGGGAAGGCGAGGTCTAGGCGAGTACAAGTCATCGGGTACATGAGGCAGCCCACAAGCTCTGCGTAAGGACCACTAGGCTCGAACGGCTCATCAGGAAAGGGTCTGGTGAGTCTGTGGTCAACGGCAAGAGGTGTGCGCTGTACAGTGGAGTGCTGAAGCTCGAACCGCTGAAGGACCTGCTGCACCATGTGTGACTGTGAGAGTGTAATGGCACGAGCGGCTCTTTCCCTGGTGACCTGCAGGCCAAGGTAGTGGCGCAGCTCACCAAGGTCAGTGTAGTGTGTCTCTTCTGCAGTTCGAGTTTCACGTCAGCCAAAGCAACCCTGTCAACAGTGGCGAAAACCAGGTCATCAACGTAGACCAGTACAAAGAACGGTGTGGAGCCACGACGAACGAACAACGACGGGTCGGCAGAAGAAGGCTGGAAACCAAGGTCAGAAAGGGTAGAGCAAAGGGTGTCGTACCACTCACGAGGAGCCTGACGGAGACCATAGACCGGTCGCCTAAGCCTCCACTGGGTCCCAGGAGGGAAAGTGCCAGTGAAGGCAGAGGGACGACGCAACCAGACCTCCTTGTGTAGGCTACCCTGAAGGAAGGCAGTGGAGAAGTCAAGAGAGTGTAACTCGTAGTCTCTCTGTGCTGCTACATGCAGTAACACCCGAAGAGTGGTCATCTTCAGGGTAGGCGCAAAGGTCTGAAAGAAGTCAACTCCCTCGCGCTGACTAAAACCTCTGGCCACATAACGCGCCTTGAAGACCGGAGGAGATCCCGGTGGCCGCTTCACCCTGAAGATCCACATGCCATCGACTACGTTCACCCCAGGGGGGGGAACCTCATCGACGTAGGTGCCTGTGGATCTGTAGGAGGCCATCTCTGAGTCCATGGCAGCTCTCCACTGAGAGGCCCAAGACCCTGACACTGCCTCAGCATAAGTGCGAGGAGTCGGTATGTCAAGGGCGTTGGGGTCTCCCTCAGGGGCGAGCAGCATGGCACAGAGATGAGGGGAACCAGCTGCCAAGAACTCCAGCTCAAACTGCCTGTCCTCAAGGGCGTCACAGCCAAGGGCAGACTCACCCTCGACGGCCAGAGGACTGGTAGGAGGAGCAGCCACAAGACTGGTGGCGTAGTCAAGGCTGCGAGTAGAGGCAAACTCAGTGACTGTGGCAGTAAGAGCAAAAACAGGGGACAAAGAAGCACGTGGGTCGAAAACAAGAGAGGCGAGAACTCGAGAGAGAATAGGACGGTACGTGCGGTAGTAGTCTGTAACAGGAGTAGAGAGGGAAGCAGTGAGAGCTGACTCAGGAGGAGAAGGAAGTACAGAAGGAGACGAACGAGGCGGACTAGAACAAAACAGGGCAGTACGAAGGTCAATGAAGGGAACATGGGACGAGGGACGAGCACGAGGAGAGCGACGCGAAGGCCAAGTGTGAGAAAGAGGAGACAACGGGGGCAGAGGAGGAGGGAAAACATCTGGGGAGGGGTCAAGAGGAGGAAGCGGAGGACCAGAGACGAGAGGAGAGGGGGAGGAGGGAGGAGAAGGAGAGGGGACACCCAGGGTCCAAAGACCAGAGACAAGGGGAGGAGGTGGCTGCAGCTGCTGCTCCTACTGCGGCTGCAACCGCTGCTCCTCCAGCTGCGGCAGCTGCTGCTGCTCCTGCTGCTGCGGCTACTGCTGCGGCTGCTCCTGCTCCGGCTGCTGCTGCAGCTGCTCCTGCTCCGGCTGCTCTCCTGCTGCTACTCCTCCAGCCACTGTAGCTCCAGCTGCTGCCGCTCCAACTCTCTCTCCTCTCGCTCCAACTCCAGCTGCTTCTCATGGGCACGGCGAACACGAACCTGGTGCCGGGTCGGGCAGGGGTGGGGGGGAGGAGTAGTGTCCGGAGCGGTGGTAGCCCCAGAACTGCTCTCCAAAGAACCAGTCGCACCACCCCCAGAGCAAGCACCACCAGAAATAACAGGGTCCGTCCCAGGCTCTCCAGGTCCAGCAGAGGGTGCACCCCCAGTCGTAGCACCCCTAGGGACAGCTCCACTAACACTAGCTCCCCGAATACTAGAGTCTCCTGCAGTCCCAGGCTCAGCTCCAACTCCAGTACCCCCAGAACCAGGACCTCGCACTGGTACGCCCTCTGCTCCAACTCCAGCACCTCTAGAGCTAGCACCTCCAGGCTCTTGCAGGGTCTGCTGTAGGTTTGGAGGACTGCGGGGAAGGAGGCTGCACCTAAGGGGCTACCGAGGGGGAAGGGGTAGCGTGGGACACATCTGACGGGGAGCAGGAGGGGGAGCTGAACTCAAAAAGAGAGGGGGAGGAGGAACCGGGAGACCTCGACAGGGGTACCTGACGTAGTAGGGGACGGACTAATCAAAACGGACGTCATGAGAGTCAAAGAACCGGTGAAAGGGAGGGTGGTAAAAGGTGTGGTCAGGGGAGGCCTCAGGGAAACCAAGGAACACGAAAGGAACAGCGCGAGGCTAGATCTTGTCCGCGGAGGTGTCGCGAACAAATGCCAAGCAGCCACAAACACGAAAGCGCGACGCAGCACCAGGGGACCCAGTCCAAAGACTGATCGGTGAAACCTCTAGCCGAGAGACACGTGGCCAGAGGTTCAGCTGGTGAGCGGCGTATCGAACCGCATAGGGCCACAGAAAATGGGGGGCACGGGCATGAGTCATGGAGGTGCGGGCA